GCTGCTTGCTGCTTGCTGCTTGCTGTTTGCTGTTTGCGGTTTGCTGTTTGCTGTTTGCTGTTTGCTGTTTGTTGTTTGTTGTTTGTTGTTTGTTGTTTGTTGTTTGTTGTTTGTTGTTTGCTGTTTGCTGTTTGCTGTTTGGTGTTTGTTGTTTGTTGTTTGTTGTTTGTTGTTTGTTGTTTGTTGTTTGTTTGTTGTTTTTTGTTTGTTGTTTGTTGTTTGTCGTTTGTCGTTTGTCGTTTGTCGTTTGTCGTTTGTCGCTTGTCGCTTGTCGCTTGTCGCTTGTCGCTTGTCGCTTGTCGCTTGTCGCTTGTCGCTTGTCGCTTGTCGCTTGTCGCTTGTCGTTTGTCGTTTGTCGTTTGTTGTTTGTGGTTTGTGGTTTGTGGTTTGTGGTTTGTGGTTTGTTGTTTGTTGTTTGTTGTTTGTTGTTTCTTGTTTCTTGTTTCTTGTTTCTTGTTTCTTGTTTCTTGTCTCTTGTTTCTTGTTTGTTGCTTGTTGCTTGTTGCTTGTTGTTTGTTGGTTGTTGGTTGTTGGTTGTTGGTTGTTGGTTGTTGGTTGTTGGTTGTTGGGTGTTGGTTGTGGATTGGTGGTTGTTGGTTGTTGGTTGTTGGTGGTTGGTGGTTGGTGGTTGGTGGTTGGTGGTTGGTGGTGGGTTGTTGGTTGTGGGTGGTCGGTTGTCGGTTGTCGGCTGTTGGCTGTTGGTTGTTGGTTGGTTGTTGGTTGTTGGTTGTTGGTTGTTGGCTGTTGGTTGTTGGTTGCTGTTGGTTGTTGTTGTTGTTGTGGTTGCTGTGGTTGTGGTTGTCGTTGTCGTTGTCGTTGTTGTTGTTGGTTGTTGGTTGTTGGTTGTTGGTTGTTGGTTGTTGGTTGTTGGTTGTTGGTTGTTGGTTGTTGGTTGTTGGTTGTTGGTTGTTGGTTGTTGGTTGTTGGTTGTTGGTTGTTGGTTGTTGGTTGTGTTGTTGGTTGTTGTTGTTGTTGTTGTTGTTGTTGTTGTTGTTGTTGTTGTTGTTAATGTTGGTGGTGGTGGTTGTGGTTGTTGGTTGTTGTTGGTTGTTGGTTGTTGTTGTTGTTGTTGTTCTTGTTCTTGTTCTTGTTCTTGTTTTTGTTCTTGTTGTTTGTTGTTTCTTGTTTCTTGTTTCTTATTTCTTGTTTGTTGCTTGTTGCTTTGTTTGTTGGTTGTTGGTTGTTGGTTGTTGGTTGTTGGTTGTTGGTTGTTGGTTGTTGGTTGTTGGTTGTTGGTTGTTGGTTGATGGTTGTTGGGTGTTGGTTGTGGATTGGTGGTTGTTGGTTGTTGGTTGTTGGTGGTTGGTGGTTGGTGGTTGGTGGTTGGTGGTTGGTGGTGGGTTGTTGGTTGTGGGTTGTGGGTTGTCGGTTGTCGGTTGTCGGTTGTCGGCTGTTGGCTGTTGGTTGTTGGTTGGTTGTTGGTTGTTGGTTGTTGGTTGTTGGCTGTTGGTTGTTGGTTGTTGGCTGTCGGTTGTGGGTTGTCAGTTGTTGGTTGTTGGTTGTTGGTTCTTGGTTGTTGGTTGCTGGTTGTTGGTTGTTGGTTCTTGGTTGTTGGTCGTTGGTGGTTGGTCGTTAGTCGTTAGTCGTTAGTTGTTGGTTGTTGGTTGTTGGTTGTTGGTTGTTGGTTGTTGGTTGTTGTTGGTTGTTGGTTGTTGTTGGTTGTTGTTGGTTGCTGTTGCTGGTTGTTGGTGGTTGCTGTTGCTGTTACTGCTGCTGCCGCTGCCTGTGCGACTGGAGCTGCTGCTGATGACGTTGTTGTTGTGGTGGTGGTGGTTGCTACTGGTGTTGTTGTTGTTGTTGTTGTTGTTGTTGTTGTTGTTGTTGTTGTGGTTGTTGTGGTTGTTGTGGTTGTTGTGGTTGTTGTGGTTGTTGTTGTTGTTCTGGTTGTTGCTGTTGTTGTTGTTGTTGTCGTCGTCGTCGTCGTGGTTGTTGTTGTTGTTGCTGCTGCTGCTGCTGCTGTTTCTGTTGTCATCGTCGTCGTCGTCGTCGTCGTCGTGTTTGTTGTTGTTCTCGTTGTTCTTGTTGTTCTTGTTGTTATTGTTGTCGTTGGTGGTGGTGGCGGCGGTGGTGGCGGTGTTGCCGGTGTTGTTGTAGTTGTTGTTGCTGTTGTTGTTGCTGTTGCTGTTGTACTTGTGCGTGTTTGTAGTTATTGTTCTTGGTGATGCTGTTGCTGTTGCTGTTGCTGTTGCTGTTGCTGTTGCTGTTGCTGGTGCTGTTGTTGTTGCTGTTGCTGTTGCTGTTGCTGTTGCTGTTGCTGTTGCTGTTGCTGTTGCTGTTGCTGCTGGTGGTGGTGGTGGTGGGTGGTGGGTGGTGTTGCCGTTGCCGTTGCCGTTGCTGTTCTTACTATTATTGTTGCTGCTGCGGCTGTTATTGTTGTTGTGCTGCTGGTTGTTGGTTGTTGGTTGCCTGGTTGGTGGGCAATGGTTTGCGTTTTTGGTCTACTGCCTGTTGTCTGTGGTCTCTTGTTCGTTGAGTGGGGTCTGGCGCTTGTTGGTTGTTG